TTTGCGGTCGCTGGACGTCCGTGGGCGGTCGTTTTCGTGGGCGCTGGTCGTCGTTGGTGTGAGGTCATTGACGTTGGTGGGCGCTCGTTTTCGTCGGTGGGCGCTCGTGGGGGTGGGCGCTCGTTGACGTTGGTGCGGTGTGTTGGTGGGCTGTTCGTGGTGGTGGGTCCTCGTGGCCGAGCAGAGACGGCGAACGACGACCGATGTCGTCGTTCGCCGTCTGGTTGCCACGTCGCGACGTGGCACCTGTGGTTTGTGTTAAAAAGGAGAGTGGGTGGGGTGGTTGTTCCCACTTACCTCTCGTCACGCGTCGTCAGCGTCAGCGTCGTCGTCGTCGTTGTCGATGTCGCGGGCGGTCGTGGTTTGAAACGGGGGTGGTGGATGGTGATGGTGGTGGTAGGAAGGAAAGAACGACGTGGCAACGCTTCAGCCACAGCTGTCACGTTTGACGCGGCACGTGCCTAAAAGCGGTATATACATACCTTTAGTTTCTCATATAATAATGCCTTCATGGCTCAGTCGGCTTGAGCGCTGCTTACATTCACGAGGTCGAGAGTTCAATTCTTCGAAATGTAAAAAAATTTATTTTACTTACTTATAGTAAGGACAATGTATTCTAATGGTATAATAGTCATTAATTCCTTCCATGGAATCCATATGGACTGCTCCATGGAATCCATGTGGATATGCCTGCATTCCATATGGAATGGTGTTGGAGTCCATATGGAATTAATCATTCCATGACCATTCCAGCATCATTCCATATGGAATCCATGATGTCCATGGAATCAGAAACTGGCTGTGTCCTCAGCCAACATTGATTCCATGGATTCCATATGGAATTCTTCATGGATTCCATGGATTCCACATGGATTCCATATGGATTATACCGGGGAAGGTAAAGACCTCACAATGTGGGCGTTGGGACTGAGAGATTGGAGGACTGGCGGTAGTAGCTGAACCGGAAGCGAAGGTGAGGGCATGCGCACCCCCTGATTCGATGGAAGCGAGGGTAGCTTTGAGGGTGTTTCGGTTGGGATTGGCGGAGCGCGAGTATTTGTAGCCCTATGTAAAAAGGTTGTGGTTAGTATGATGATGGCGTTGAGAGGGAAGAAAAGATCATGGGACGAAGAATGGAAAGCTGTAGAATGTATTTGAGAGGACAGAAACAAAGACGGCAAGAGAGACTTGTGTCCCTCCCACCAATCTCACAACGTCAGAAATTTGGCGCAACTTGGAGGAGGCGCATTGCGATGTGGTCTCATGGGAAACTCTGTAGGGAGCAAAACGTAACAATATGCATGGCGGCTCTGATCCGCTGGAAATGGCGCAAACACCAGAAATAAATATACTCAGCGACATGATCCTGTTGCCAAAATGCATCGCCCATTATGGGAAGGACAAGAGAGATCATCTCAAAGAGAGGCGGTAAAGAAAAAAAAGATCAAAGGGGTAAGATGTAATTTTGGGCAAACTATTGGGGTGAATTGGAGAGGGAAGTCTGTGAAACTCAGTATGGAGCACCCGTCTGCATCAGATAATTATTCCCCAGTGCCCCAAGTGAACCCCGACGGACAGATGAAGAGAGTAACGAACGACTTCTCACCTTATGAACACCTACAGCCCCTTGCTTATATGTCGTTGACAGCAATATCGGCGGGATGACGGCGCTTATCTTGACGCTAGGCTCGGAACCTACGTGGATAGCGTGTGTGAAGCCATCTTCAATCAGCTTTGGTTTGGTGCCATCCAAGACAAAGGGATTATTATTATTGAGAAGTAATCCCAGGGATATGGTGCGAATGAGGCTGGTAGGGTATTGATGAAGGGTCTATAAAGACGCCATGGGAAGAAGAATTTGAAGAAGCAGAAGTAAGATCCATTTGCAACGATGATGAATCACGAATCATGATGCTGACAATGAGATGCAGTCATGTGCATAGCCGGCATTAGGGAGGCACAAAGTTGGCCGCTGTCCGCCGTTGCTTTTCGCCTTCACGCGTCATATGATCATTTTTTCAAAGCCCGATGTGACCAAAATGTGACAGATCGTGTTATCTTCCTCCCTTCCCTCACGCGCATCGATCCTGCGCGTGCACCACAGTCTTTACTCTCCCATCTACTATAGAATAACCATGCTCTTTATCTAATATGGCCAAAGGCACTAAGCCCAAGATCCTGGATATCCCTTGGGCAGAGAACGACGACAGGCTAGTCTGGGAATTCATCACAGAATGTGAGAAGGATGTCAACTACAAGGTCCTCTTTGGGAAGAAGGAGATCAGAGAGGTATGTATATGTTATCTCAAAGTTTGATCTTCGTGTTAATATGCTAAAATTACATAGAACACCAGTGGAGACTCGAAGATAACCATGTTCAAGCGCATCGCAAAGGTTATCATGCCAGATCTCTTTGCTGTCGACGGAACTACAGTCGGTAACTGACTCAAAGGACAGCTCGAAAGGTAAAGGTTTATTTTCTATTTTTCCGATGCTAATTTCCTTGACAAGATTGACCAAAACATACCAAAAGCACGCTGCTCGACTTCGACAGGGGGTGGTCTTGAGGATGAGAACTGCGAGAATTCGCAAGAGGAGCACATGAAATACTACATCCCAGGTGAAGGTCCAAATGACACAACTCCGGTGGATGCTCTCAACCTCTGGCGTGCGTATTTCTGATCAAACTCAATTTTCATACTCACGTTGACGTCTTTGTTAAAAGAGCAAATTGAGAAGGACTTTAAATTCTTTCCCCGTCTCCACAAGATCTTTGCCACCTGTCCCAATGTCACTCCTATTGTTGTAACCACTGTGCTTGGTCCTCAAGGTCGAAAGACAGTGTGGTTCCAGCCTCCCAATGACACAGCGGACTCCACAGCTGGCTCAGCTGTTGACCTGGCTCCTCTGTCTACCCCAGCTTGCCGTCCCACTCATACATTTGGTACAGATGTCACCCAGGCAATTGTTAATGCCAACGGGACACCTGTTCCTGTGGAATTGCCCCAGAAGGCTGACACACGGCCTCCCGTTTCCACCGACACACAGCCTCCCATTTCCACCGATGCACGGCCTCCCGTTTCTGCTGGCAAACGTGCTCCCAAGTCTTCAGCGATCTCACAAGAGGCTATTAACAAGGCTCGTTTGAATATCGAGAAGGTGCCACAGAAACATACCCTTCTTGATACCCTTCTCGACATGCAGGAGTAAGTCTCTTGCTCTAATGTTCATTCATATTTAATAAACCTCATTTATTTTCACAGGAAGAACAACAAGATGTGGAGTGATGAGGCGAAGGAGAAGCTGCTCATCCAGAAACGAGCACATCTTCTCGATGAATTCAAGCTTGGGATTTATGATAGGGAGACATATCTTGAGAAGAAGGCTGAGCTCGAGGGTGGTAGTCCTCCTGCAAAATGTCAGAATATGCGTCAGTTCTCTCCTGATTGGGATGATGCCAATTTTTACACTGCTGATCAATCTCTTTAATCCCTATCTTTTTAATTTCTTCCCATCCTTATTTTCCCATCCTTATCACTCCTTTTTACATGTAATTCTCCTTATTCCAATTATACCCATCGAGCTATTGAATAATATATATGTTTCTGGACCATGTTACATCTCTGAAAATGCCAACAACTCAGTAACCAGCTCTTTCCTCTTTGCCTCAACATCTTCACCATCTTCGCCTTCAAGAGGTGCATCTCACTGACCTCTGTTGATGTATTCTTCAGCATGGCCATGGTCCTGTCCAAAATGGGCTGCTGATTTTGAGCCCTCGACGTCAATAATGAGGTTATGAAGGATGATGGCAATTATAATCCAATGGCATGCATCATGATGATCTTGTTTCGAATTGATGCTGACGTGAAGGCCTCGAAGACACTGGAATCGACCTTTCAGAGCACCCATGCAATGCTCTGATCAGACACGAAGATGAGCAACAGCTTTGTCGAATAATGCATTTGCAGGATCATCTGATGCAGGTTTCTTGTGGACTGGAATTGTACGAGAATTGACAGCATATGCAGAATCTGCCCAGGCAAATTCCTCGCCTTCGAAAAACCAGTCAGGATATTTTGCAGCTGTTGTATGCTCAAATGCCATGGTGTCGTGAGCTGAGCCAGTCATTCCATGGGAATAATCGACGATACGGAGATTCAATGGATATTTCCAATCTAAACCAATGTGAGGTTAAAGAAAAGAACATGTGAGAAAGACCCACCTGGGTATTAAGACCATAATTCCCTTTTCTTGTGTAATACGCATCACCGTTGAGTCCAGGTTTTTTGTAGAGAACAACAATGGTCCCATCATACATCACCCAACCCTCTCGCCACTTTCCTTTGAAGCCAAGATGCTCATCCATCCACCGCTTCTCCACTTCCTTTTCTGCTGAGGTTAACCTCTGCACAAAAAGATCATGAAGAGACTCAATCGCCTCAAAACATCGGTCAGTGTAGTTTTCAACAGACCCCTCAGAACAGCCTGCTTGTTGTGCAATATCCTCCACAGAAGCCCCATTTCCATACCTTCCCATTCAAAAAAGAGTGGTGGCTAGCTGCTGCTCAACAGGAGCTTGGGCATTGTTTGAGCCATTAGTGAAAACAGGATGATCCTCAATCAGAGTGAGGATGGTTTGGAAGACAAGAGGTGTTACAGGGAGCATGTTGACAAAGCGGTGATGGTTTGCTGGATTTTCTGCATAATCCCAGGCAAGGCCCATGTTCCCTAACTTTGGAATGGTTGGCCGTCCATTCAGATAGCGTGTAAGGAGGATTGAGAGCAAGGAGGATTGAGAGCAAGGTGTTGATATCCAGATCATTTTCTTTCTGCCTCTGTTCAATTGTTTGCCGATCTGCCGGTGTAAAAGTCTGATGCATAAGCATCAAGAGGATGTACTGGTTTACCAAGTCCTGGTGCACGGAGAGTTGAGGCATCCTTCAACAGGCAGGAAAGGATTGTACTGGATATCTATTCAGCATTGTATCAACATGACAAAGCGGACTTTAAAAATGATCATATGATGCGATCAAATGCGTGAAAGTGAAAAGCGACGGCAGACGGCGGCCAACTTTGTGCCTCCCTAATGTCGTTCATCTCCGACTCCGTGGTGAAAAGTGTGCATTTCAATTACCTAGCACAATGTTGACGCACAAGAAAAAGTCGATAACAAGCCTGCAGCAGATCTATGATTCAATAATGGGTGAAGTTGACACTCGGGCGTACAACTAAGACTAGCTAACCTTCGTTGTAGAACTGCTGTTGAAGGTCAAGCCCACGCTCGATAATCCAAAGGATCAGAATTGGCATGCTGCAGTTGAGGACCTTAATTAGGTAGCTTCTTTGGCAGAGTCATTTTCGGACCAACGCCCCAGGTCAAGCAAGAGCTGGAGCCATCTGACCAACTCGCTGGACCAGGAAGGTGTGTTGCTTTTGATTGGGGCTTGGTGCGTGCGCTAACTGAGGGATGAAATAAAAAAGGCGTTAATCTATGGAACATATCAGGTTTGATCGGAAAGTGTGAAGGGGACGATGCTCATGTCCATCTTGCCGCCTGTGAGATCCACCACCAACATCCTGAGATACTGAATGGTGAACGATCATTCCACTGGATCTAGTAAGGCTTGCGGTGTTTCGCCTTGTCGAGGCAGGGTTGGAAACAAAGCCTGGGATAGTAAGTCCGTTGTTCCTGTCGATTGATTACTAGGGTTTAGTACGAGGCACCTTCTACAGGTCTCCTGCATGAGCTTCAATTGGCAAGCAAGACTGGGGTAACCCTTTCTGGTGTGTCAGATCGTTTCAATGGCCGCTCGTCTTGCAACACACCTCGTTCTTTGACTCCCATCAGAAGTTGGAAATAACATTGTAGCTGGTTGCGTTTTGACAATGTCACAGGTCCCTTATCGACGCCTGATGTCAGGATACAGTTTGAAGAACAGTTGAGAAATGCGGGTGACCCAGACAGTACGCATCAATATTCCATAGCATGCGCGACCATCGTGTGTCACTCCAGTAGAATGGAAGCCGTATGTTCACAGGCCGGTCATGAGATAATACCCTCATTTCACAGGTGTGGAAAGAAGGAAATTATACTGTAGCAGAGTTTATGTCGAAAAAGATCACAGGTGGGTCTTGCACATTCACTCTCGTTTAAGATCAAAATAAATCACATGTGAACTTTCCAGGCGATCATCAATGTCTTGCCCTCCTACCTCCACATCGTAAGGTAGCGGACAGCCATACCTCGCTAACGTCACGTGAACAGCCCTAATCAGGCGACATTCTACAAAGTAGACAGAAATGAAGCAACAAAATGTACATAATGCTGCAAAACCAAGCTGAACATTCTATTTTAAATTGTATCTAGAGTGCTTGTGCAAGTTTTCAGAACTTGATTCGAAAATCTGAAGGAGGAGTTTCAAATATAAGAATGCACTGTAATTCACGTGATGCGCTGCGACATGGAACACCATTTTCAGAACTCCTCCTCGAGAACTTAGTTTCCAACCAAAATTATGCAGTAGCAACTAATGCGACATCATTCTCTACAATATGTTCAAGCCTGATTTGTTAAAAACTGCATGTTAAATATTTGGGGAGTGTTTCTGTAAAAAATGACCGCTTTGAGACAAATCACGTGATGTTAGCGAGGTATGGCTGTCCACTACCTTAAGCGAAATGTACAACTGGTCCCATCAGTTACTAAGGGTCTGGAATCAGCGCGAACTTCTGGCATACAAACTCCATCAAATTGGTAAATTGACAATGCCCACGAAGCCAAGTGCTCAGGATGGCCTTAAGCCAGCCAATGCGGTCAAGTGGTTGCAAACGGCTTTCTCTATGGCTGATCAATTGGACGATACAGCGGGTTCGGGGGTTGCGGAACTCAAGGTACGCGAGCGCCTGCTCTGCAGCCTTTTAATCGTCTAACAGACATTTCAACTCCGAAGATATCTCTATTACGCACGGTGGGTACGTTCACGAGGGAGTAGCTGTGCGTATACCTTGACATTGACCAGACTTGTTTAGCTAGGGCATATTTTGTATCGGAATCCTACGATCGTGCAGAGGCTGTTCTAAACGAGCTCCTGCCAACCATAGACACATCTACAAATCACGTAAGTTGATAGCTTCATTAGAAGATAAGGCGTTTTTGACATACCTAATCAAGGCAAGTTCCAAATATCAAGAACTACGGTGGCTGAGGTTGGCTGTTTTGAAAAGGAGGAAAGCTGGCGATCCCGCTCTCCTTGATGGTATTCCAGATACTTCTATGTGACTGAATTGCGCTGATATACACAGCTTTCAAATCTATTATCGACCGCATGGAATTGACCGAACTTAATATCACAGAGTTAGTCTTCGATTTCCATGTGGAAATTACCTTGGTTTGCTTATAATTCAAATGCTAGTGTCCTTCAGGATCTGAGAACGCTCAGCCATCAACAGTAGGTTTTTCAACAGATCGGAGTTAGGGTGTCGTGAACTTAGGGGATTCATGCCCATGTCCTCAGCGCCCTTGTTACCAATGTCAACTTGCACTGTCTAAGTCGTGCATTGTGGCACCGGGAATTCGAAACAGACCACGTCGACTGATTAGTCTTGTCACTGATATTCCATTGCTCCAAGGACGACAATCATGCAAGGGCGATGAAAACCCTTGAAACCATGTTCGCATGTAGGCCATCGCTCTTTGCATAAACCTGTCATTTGACCCATATGACCCATGTTGTTCCAGCCATCTGTGAAGCTGAGGTAGAGCTGCCACCTGTATCCACCACAGCATGCTTAACTGTACATGATCTCATGCCTTCATTTCTAAACCTGTGTCGTAGATCCTTTTCGACATTCTTAGCTGATCTGGCAATATGGGGGATGCCACTACAAGGCCAAGAGATGGTCGGAAGCCGCCGAATGGTATATTGCTGGCAGCCACCAACTGTTCGGAAGTCACGGTTTGTTAAGCAGCTCGAAGTGTTTCTGGAAGGCGGCACTCTGCTATATTGAAAAGAGAGAGTACGCCCAGGAATCCACGGTCATCCACCATTGCCCCACCAATGAAGTGACAACCCATTATGTCATTTTTCTTACTGCTGTTCATCAAGGTGTGTAAACGACGCCAATTCGGATGATCAGGGCTAATTATATTCTGGATTGTTTGTAAGGGTTGGAGAATGAAGGTAAAGACATTGATTCAGGTTCCGTCTTACCTTAATGGGGAACATTGCAGCGATTCAAGCCATAAATGATATGCAGAAAGCTCCGGACTTTGACTGCAAAATGTTAATGCTAGCCACGCATATTTCTCATCAGTCCGAGATGCGAACCGTACTGCTTTCAGTGCTGGAAGGCCTGCTAAAGACGCTGAAGATGGGGTCCAGTGGAGATGTGGTAGTTCAAGCGATGACATTGATTCGGTGCATCGTCAAACTCATCCTTCAGCCAGCTCCTAGTTGAGCCCACTGCAAAAAAGTCAGGAATTTTTGTCATTGCCGAAAAAGGGCTAACTCTTGTATCATCTCCAGGCCTCTTTTGATTGACACCATGGTAAATCATTACCGCACGGGTATGCTGCTGTCCAATTCCTGCCGACAGCCACCTGATACTCCCGAATCGTTCAGCAAGAATTCTAATGGCAGCTGTGTCAGAGCAAAGAGCAGTATCTCTAATATTCAAGGATGTCTCTTGGTTGTGGCAGACGGCGTATAATTGTGCTGTCCAAGGGTGTTCAGATCAGGATAACGCTGGTGAACAAATCTCAGAGCTTTTTGACATTTCAAGAGAGGTAAGTCCTGATCACGTGTTACACCCGAACTGTTTCTACTGGTTTAATTCAGCTGTTGGAAGCGTGCTGTAATGCATCGCCAGTGGATGTTGATTCCGAGTCGCGTTTACATCTCGTGAATGCCTCCTTTGCTGCAATGTCTGGCCAGGGTAAGGTATTTGCAATGTCCTTCATCTGCTTCTAATTTCTTCCATCAATCACAAGTTTTCTCTGTTCGTGAGATCGTTGCCTCGACAGGGGCCATTGATGTAGGTATTCCTTTCTCCACCTTGCTGTTACGGCATTTCAATACTTTCTGAATCACCACAGGTTGAGTGACTCCATGTCATTACTGCCGACATTAAAACCTCCAAAAATAGAATTGCCGATATTCTGAACAAGGCCAAGACATTGGATGAGGGTGAAGGCAACCGCATCCAATACTTCCTCCATACTCTGCGAATTTTTGAAACTGAATTTTTAGTTCACCTGAAAGAGTGGAATCAGATATCCCAAATCGTCCAGGTACACAATATCGATCACGCAGTCGCTTTGCTGGTTGCCCGATAATCACCAGGAAATAGTCAAGTCAGGACCCTTGGCTGTCGACACATATGAAGCAATTGCTGACATACTGGTTAGCCCTTGGCTTGCTTTTATTTCGGCGATCTAAAAATGTGCTTACAGTGGGTGGATAAAGACTGCCCCGTAAATGGTAAGTACGCCACTCCCACTTTATGCCGCCCAAATGAGCCGACTGCCTGATCTGTTGTAGTTTTGCATGAATGCCTTGAGGTGCTCAGTCAGCATCTGTTTTCGGTCAAAAGAAATACCCTGAGTTTACACTCTTCCATTCTAGGCTATTATGGTGGTAAGCTTGGATCATCAAGCCCTTTCAGTGGAGAGATTCTCTCGGTGGTTACACATGATCTGTACCATCCTCCTTGCTCGAAATACTGTGGCAGACAGGACTAAGGCCATGGGTACGTCAAACAAACCCTCATCGTGATTGAGGACCATGATGCCACCGAACAGGTCTGATCTGTCACGTTGCTTCATCCAGTTAGGGCAGTCAAATGGGTCCATCACTGATGGGCCAGCGGCGTGTGACAGGCGCCCATCAACAGCGGGCCAGCGGACTCGGCCGAGCTGTCAAGAATTTGGCCTTGGCAATGACTGGGCCGAGACTCTAAAATAGGCCATGCGACATGGGTGGGCCGAATGAACAGAGGCCCATAGAGGACAGATCGGCCCACTTTGCCCCTGGTGCCCATCAGCCTTTCATGCAGTTAACCAGAGTGCTGCCTCGTTAGTACCACTGTGGGGGACCATGCAGGAGAAAGTTAAATAGATGTATTATTTACCTGATGTACATATGTGATTTGAATGTGTTGGCGGCAGCCTCGTTGTTGCACCTGCAGGCAACAACAAGGTGAATTTTTCACCATGGATGGTGTGGAAGAACGAAAGTTCAACGAAGGGAGACGGAAACTGGTCGTCTACACAAAAAGAAGGGGGAAGAAAGGGAAGGACGAGTTTGGACAATAAAGAAAGGAACAAGGGGGACTTAGCGCGGATGGCGTGAGAGAGCGCTTGGACGAGCGCTACGTAACGGTGAAAGATCGCACAAGAGCGTATTATGCGCTCGCGTCGTCCAAACTGAAGGTGGCGTTGAGTGGCGTGAGAGCATACGTTGAGGGAGTTCTGAGAGTTGATTAAGTTGTCGTTCTTGAAAATACTTGTAATCCTTCAATTCTTATAAGTGAGAGCAAACTTTGAGGGGAAAGAATCAACTCCATTTGTGAGGTGGGAGGACACCTTAAGTACAAAAATCATAATCACAAGGCATCTACACATTCTCGCGTGCTGCCTGTCCAAAACATTCTAAAGAAAATAAGAAGACAAACAATTAAAGATAAAAACAACTTTTGGCATGTCATGTCGAGTTCCTCCACCGAACCGTCGAACTGGGAATTTCTCGGGGAACTGTTCGACGCTGGGGAGTCTATTTACGAACGCACTGCCGCCCTCAGCGCGGACTTCCCAGCCATCGGTAGCTCGACCCTACCATCCAGCCCTCGGGTGCGATTTCGGTCTCTTGGGGATACGCCGTAAGTAAAAGAACAATAATAATAAAAAAGAATAAAATAAAATAAAAGAAAGTACGTGCACATGCAAACAAGTCCAGTCCCGATCCTTCAAATTCCACCAAAAGAGCCGAATGAAGAAGTTGCCGATGATGATGTCATACGAGGGAAGCATTTACAGTAAGTCGCCGGTTATTGCGTCACTTGATGGTGATTCTTGTAGGAACACTTCAGGAGCGCCTTTACTAGTGCGCAACAAAAACCCTAAAAAAAAAACACAACCACTCCAAACACTCAAACTTTAGTAAGAAACACAAATAAAAAATAAAAAAATAAAAAATAAAAAATAAAAGTCCAAAATAGAAAAAAAAGAGGGCGTCATGAAAGGTTCAAGATGCACTTCCACAATGGGCGGCATAAAAAAAAGCCCCTCATACAATGGGTCAGCCCATTTTGGCAGGGGTTTATGGCACCCATGCACTGTGCCCATTGGTCTCATTGGCGAGTCCTAACCTGTGCAATTATTTTGCGCTGTACAGGCACAATTATTTTGAGCTCTGCAAGGGGTGCAATTATTTGCACTCTATGGGGGTGCAATTATTTTGCGCTCTAGAGGTGCAATTATTTCAAGCTTCACGAGAGGTGCAATTCTTTTGCACTCCATGAGAGGCGCAATTCTTTTGCACTCCATGAGAGGCACAATTCTTTTGTGCTGCACAGGAGGCACAATTCTTTTGCACTCCAGGGTGCAATTATTTTGTGCTCTAGAGGTGCAATTATTTCAAGCTCCATGAGAGGCGCAATTCTTCTGTACTCCACAAGAGGTGCAATTCTTTTGCACTGCACAGGGGGCGCAATTATTTTGCACTCCAGGGTGCAATTATTTGCACTCCATGGCGCAATTACTTGCGCTCTATGGGGGCGCAATTATTTTGCAATTATTTTGCACTCCAGGGCGCAATTATTTGCACTCCAGGGCGCAATTACTTGCGCTCCATGGGGGCACAATTATTTTGCACTCTAGAGGTGCAATTATTTCAAGCTCCATGAGAGGCGCAATTCTTTTGCACTGCACAGGGGGCGCAATTATTTTGTCCTCAAGAGGTGCAATTATTTCAAGCTCCATGAGAGGCGCAATTCTTTTGCACTCCACAAGAGGTGCAATTCTTTTGTGCTGCACAGGGGGTGCAATTCTTTTGCACTCCAGGGCACAATTATTTGCACTCCAGAGCGCAATTACTTGTCCTCTATGGGGGCACAATTATTTTGTGCTCTGGAGGTGCAATTATTCCAAGCTCCCATTTGAATGTGCACCAAATGTCAGAGTGCGCCCATCAGAGTGCACTCAATGTGAATGTGCACCAAATGTCAGAGTGTACCCAATATGAATGTGCATGAAATGTCAGTGTGTCCCCATCAGAGTGCCCCCAATGTGAAATGGGCATGAAATGTCATGTCAGAGTATGCCCAATGTGAATGCACATCAAATGTGTGCACTAAGTACGCATCTGCACCTGTTATTTTTCAGTGTGTATTTCCACCCATTATTCTTTTGCATAAAATGTCAAGTGTGCCCAATGTGAATGTGCATGTGAGTGGGCACCAAGTCACTATATTCCTATGGCATTTATTTTGCACAAAAAATATGCGCCCCCCCCCCCAACGGTAGTAAATGTGTGGACCAAAGTAGTTTGTAGCTGCCCTGCTAAATGCCACCATGTGCCCCACTGAAACAATCTTTTTGCGCCAAATGATGTTTGGACTTTTTCAAAATTTGGCCATGTCCGGTATATTTTCAAGCTCAGGGGGTGGGGGAAGAAGCTTGAATGTACAAATTTAGTATCATTAGAATTGTATAAACATCCTCTATCAATCTATGCCTATTAGAAAAGCACCAGTAGTTGTGTAAATATTTTAAGGCAGCAAAAGACCTAGGATGTTGGAAGGGCCAAGTAAACAATGGCAAACATTCTGATAATTCTACAAGTTCATGCTACAAAACATGGGGGAAGAAACTTGGATGCTCAAACAAGCTGGAATCATAATTCAGACGTAATTCGGCATCTACTGATACCATTTCTAAGAGCAACGGTTGTCTGTGGCCAGCTGAATTCAATACTCAGCTGTTTTGTCTAGGCTGTGACACTCTCACAAGTGTGATTTTTCTGTCAAGCATGTTGCGTTGATTATTGTCCAGAGCTTTAAAGTGCTCTTCTTCTGTTCTTAAGGTTCAGCCAAAAGTTACAGAGAAAGATAACTATATATTGGATAAAAGTAGCTGTAGGTTACTGACTGAGAGCCATCTTGCAAATCTATGGAATCCATCCTGAAAATTCATGAAATCCATCCACCATTCCAGGAATTCCATCTTCAATTCCTGTAGATTAATCCAGGAAGTGTACTTCTAGAGCCCAGAGCCCAGCCTATATCCTGTACCATCCAAGAGAGTAAAATATGGGGCATTTGGGAGGCACCAATGTGATTTGGGAGTGACCCAGAGGGTGGGGGAGAATGGGAAGGCAGCAAAAAATGCGAAATATGAGAGAGCATTGGGAGTATCATCACCTACCCATATCTGGACACCTTAGAAAGTCAGGATAGGACCATAAAATGTTTTGGAAATGGGAAGAGAATGGGATGGCAGTGAAAAATGCGGAATAGGAGAGAGCATGAGAGGTATCATCACCTACCCATGTCTGGACACCTTAGAAAGTCAGAATAGAACACATTGGGCGCACTCTGATGGGCGCACTCTGAGATTTGGTGCACATACCCATTGGGCGCACTCCAAATACATACTGAAAAACAACAGGTGCAGATGCACACTTCTTGCAGGTATATACTGACTTGGCACCCAATCACATTTGGCGCACCTTCACATTGGGCTCATATTTCATTTGGTGCACATTCACATTGGGCACACTCTGATATTTCATGTGCATTCACATTGGGCACACTCTGACATTTCATGAAGAAAAATAATGGGCACAGATACACCAATGGGCATGACAATCTGACACCGGCAGTGTCTTGGCGCCCACTCACATTTGTATTCACTATACAATGCTGGACACAGGCTATTTGTAACCCTGTCAACAGCACAAGGTACATACAGTGGCACTTGAAAGAATTGTGCCCCGTGGAGTGCAAAAGAATTGCATCCCTCATGGAGCTCGAAATAATTGCACCCCCCATGGAATGCAAATAATTTCACCCCTCATGGAGCTCAAGATAATTGCATAATTGTGCCCCCTGTAGAGCTTGAAGTAATTGTGCTTCCCTGGAGCACAAAAGAATTGCGCCCCTTCTGGAGCTTGAAATAATTGCGCTTCTACAGCACAAAATAATTGCACCCCCCATAGAGTGCAAATAATTGCGCCCCTTGTGGAGCTCAAATAATTGCGCCTGTAGAGCACAAAATAATTGCACAGGTTAGGACTCACCAATGAGACCAATGGGTCCAGTGCATCAGTGCCACAAATCCCTGCCAAAGTGGGCCAGGCATTTACTACAATTGGGGGGGTGCATATTTTTTGTGCAAAATAAATGCCATAGGAACATAGTGACTTGGCGCCCACTTGACATGTCATGCAAAAAGATAATGGGTGGAAATACACACTGGAAAATAACAGACACAGATGCATACTTAGTGCAGGTATAAGTGATTTGGCGCCTACTCACATTTGGTGCACATTCACATTGGGTCCACTGACATTTTGGGTGCATTCACATTGGGCACACTTTGACATTTGGTGCGCATTCACATTCCAATATTTCATGCATTCACATTGGGCGCACTGATATTTCATGCACATTCACATTGAGTGCACTCTGATGGGTGCACTCTGACAGTTGGTTCACATTTACATTGGGTGTACTTTTCATGCATTCACATTGGGCACACTTTGACATTTTGTGCACA